AAATGCATGCACAGGGCCTCCCTGGTGGGCAGGGGTTAAGCCTCAGCACTAAGTAGGAAGCTATCTGCAGTGGCATGAGTTCGATCCCCAGCCAGGGAGGTGACCCACAGACCTTGTCTGTCTCCCCCTTGCTCCTCTCAGCAGTGTATTTCAGTGGATCTGCCCATTCTGCTCCTCACTCTGTCACTGGTGAAGCCTCTCACCACCACCCCTAACCTCTGGGCTGCACCCCAGCTCTTGCATGCATAGACAGACAGACAGACAGATAGATCTTTTTTAAAAATGCAGGCACAGTTGAGCCTCGAACAGCTTGAGTTGGAACTGCGCGGGTCCACTTATATGTGGGTATTTTTGGAAACAAATGTAAATTCACGCTAGGGATGATTCCATTCTGGTCTGTCGCTGTGGTTCCTCTTTTACGATTTTCTGCATAGCATTTTCTTTTCTCCAGTTTGATTTAGTGTAAGTACATAGTACGTTTTTATATATGTATATAAAACACAGCGAATGCGCTAATGGACTGTTTTTGCTTCCTAGAGACAGCAGGCTAGGAGTCGTTAATTTTGGGGAGAGTCAAAAGTCATACACAGATTTTTTTTCAATTCTGGGGGTGTCAGCACTCCAACCCAAGTCAGTCCAAGGTCAACTGTCTTAAAAATGATATTTTATAACTGCAATAAGGCCAAGGCCATACCTTATGTTATAGGCATTAATATCATGATTTGACTACTATTAATTCCTGCTGATTTTAAATGAAACCCTAACGTTTCTCGGCCTCCTGTGCTGTGGTCTGCCCCTTCCAGCCAGTCCCTCCAACTGGGGTCCAGCAGTGTGACCCGCTGGCAGCTCTGGGGCTGATCTCCACTTGTTCAGAAGCTTCTGGAATTCGCTCCCACTGCAGTCCTTATTTTGGCCGAAGGGAGGCTCTGGCTGATGGCTGCTGAAACCCCGAGTGCTCCCTGGGTCCCCCATGTCCTCCCGCTGCACCCACCACCCCTGCCCAGTCCCCGGCAGCCTGAGGCTGTGTGTAGGCCTGGAGGAGGTGGCTGGTGTGGGGCTGAACACGCTCCGGGCTGATGTTTTCTTGGTGCCTCACCTGCTCAGACTTCTCGTCCTCAGCCAGGGGAGCCAGGGGAGCCCTGCCCTCCTGTCTGGCTTGGAGGCGGCTGGGCTGAGAATCACTAGGTGGTGCTTGGCTCAAGACCTCCCGTGACGATGTCTGGAGGGACCCGCTGTGGGGTGTGGGAGGAAGGGAGCGGCCTTGGGGCAGGCTGTGGGTAGCCGGCTGCAATCCTGGCCTCCCGCAGAGGCCTGGGCTGGGGCGTGGCGCGCTCTTGGCCTGTTTCCGACCGTGTCACCCACTCCCTGTCCTTCTGTCAGCACCACGAGGATGAGAAAGGCAGGGGGTGGGGAGCTGCGCACACGGCTGGGGAGGGCGCCACGTGGCAGGCCTGGACGCCGCGTCGTGGACAGGCAGGCAGGACCTGGGTGTCCTCCCTCTCGGTCCAGGGGCTGTGCTACACCTGAGTCAAGAGGAAAAGCTCCTCCTGGCTTGAAGGAACAGAGCAAGACAGGCCGCTGCGGCTCACACTCAGCTTCCCGAAGTGCATTTCAGGCTACAGGTCTGCTTGCTTAGAACTGGATTCTGGAGCAAGCGGAGTATGGCTAACTCTGCAGGACCTCAGGCGCACCTGTCCGCCCTGGCTGATGCTGCGCCTGGGTGAGCGCACTCCCAGTGAGGCCGACAAGCCAGCAGGCACAGTGCGCTCTGTCCTCAAACAGCTGCAGCCCGCTGCTTTGTTTCAAGCAGAAGCTACAAGGAGCCCCAGGCCCGGTACAAACAGGCACCCCACCCCCTGCGTCGGCACATTTCCTGTTTCTCCCTGCACCTACGGACCCTATTTATACCCATGGGCGGTCCTAATAAACAGACTTCGGACTCCAGACCCCAGGCTTCTGCTTGTTTCTCGAGTCTCTGAGTCTTCTATGTTCGGGCGATGGGCGAACGTAGTGGTCAACACACACCTCGGTGGGTTTGCAACAGGGGAGGGGGTGGTGGTCTCTTGGGAAGTGAGCGTATTCTCTTTCTCCCCCGCTGCAGGGTTCAGTCAGCCAGACAGACCCAGGGTCTCCTGGAGAAGGGGTTCCCACTCAGGAGACGGAAGCCCTGGCTGGACAGCAGGCATCACGAGCGTCTCTGAGAGGCTCTCCTTCCCGAGTCCTTGCTAGATGGAGTGTGTGGTGTGGGCAGCTCACCTTGGGCTTACACCAGAACTTGTTAGAAACGCAGCTTCGGGCCCTCCCTAGTGGCACAGTGGGTTAAAGCACAGCACTCAGAAGCTAAAGCCACCGCAGCATGAGTTCGATCCCCTGCCAGAGAGTGACCCACAGGGCGCAGCAGACCTCTCCTGACCCGCCCGCTGCTCCCCTCAGCAGTGGACTTCATCAGTTGGCCTGATCTGCTCCCCACTCTGTCTCTGGTGAATCCTCTCACCGCCCCTGCACCTCTGGCCTGTACCC